ACCCTTTCCTCACAACCAATAAAAATAATAATGAATGTACATGTCGCACATTTAATAATATACAGAAGTATTTAAAAAAATTAAATTTAGTGGGAAACGCAATCAAAGTTTGATCAATTCATACAGTTGGTATACAAAAAGACAGTTGAGAAGACCTATATATTTGCGATGTTTGGGAAATTTAGCCATCTGTTAGGTTGAAAATATTATACTTATCAAGCTTATTAATTGTATGATGAAATCTCCAAAACCGTAAATTTTGAGTTACATCTCTATATTATTAAACGTGCGATATGTATGTATAGTATAGGCTTACATGGCTGTTCTACAAATGTGAATAAATCTAGCTTCTTTTAAGATTTGGTTATGAATTTTAGAAAAAGCATGCTAAATAAATTTAAAAAACTTACATATTTCCAAGAGTCATTTTCCAACAGGGTATTTTGCATTGATGATGACGAAAACCCTTAAAAGATATTTCTTAAAAAAATGGTTTCATTTTCTGTTTTTTATTATTTGCAGTAGAATTCCAAGAACTGTTCAACAATTTATAGTGTTTGCTTAAAATTTGTACAATTTACATTCATATATTTATTCGAATTGTCTTCAGAAACTTGTAGAAAACATCTTCTTAAAAAATATTTTACCCAGTCATACGCTGGTCGGGTATTTTTTCCACTATGATAATTTCGCAGAATATTTAATTTAAATTTATAAACGCCTATATGTTTAATTAATTGGCTTACTATACCTAAGCTTAAATATAATTTAGCTCATTTGAATGAATCTAAATAAACATAGGAAATTAAGTAGTATAAAAAACTCATCAGCAAGCTTTAAAAATGATTACATTTCCAGCGAACTTTCTAATTTCAGGCGTCAGTGATAGCAGTTCATTCGTAATTGAGAATCAACGATGCGCGTATTGAATTTTACCGCTGCCTTGTATGAAAATCCCGTCGTTAAATTGGGCTGGTAACCAATCAGGCGAGTTGAAATACGATTACGTCGGCCAAATCCTAAAACGAACGATAACAGGCGATTGGCAATGTCAAATTTCTGAAACACCAAGTTGGCGAACCGAATCCTCAAATCTTGGCCCGGCCCAGCAACCGGCTTGGAGGTGTGTGTTTGTGTAAAGCTCTGCTACTTGCTAAGCATAAAAGGAATTCTCGTGGACGCAACGGACGATGAGGTAAATAAGTAGCTATTGAAAGCGGATCAGTTGGTCGTGCACGAAATAAAGCCGATTATGGACTGACATAACTACCCCAGGCGTATTGTTGTTGTTGATGTGCCTGATTTTGGTCGTGTTGTGCCTGATGCAGCGGTGAAGCATGTTGTTGCTGCTGCTGCTGCTGCTGCTGATGATGATTTGCGAGGTGATGATGCTGGCCATAGTGCTGGTGAAAGCCATGGGGTACGGCCAACGCTGTCGTGTCCATATCAATGCCACTCGCATAAAAGCAATTACCGGCGTTGGCGGAATGGCTTTCACTATTACTGTTGTTGTTATTACTGTTGTTGCTGCTATTGACGGAACCACATTTGCTCGCACTTCCACCGTTCGTTATTACTGAGGAAGATAACTTTGTGGTCGTTGTTTTTGTTGATGAGGGTGTTGTCGTACTCAGCGGTTGCAGTTCTAAAACATCACGTTGTTGTTGTTGTTGTTGTTGTTGTTGTTGTTGTTGCTGCTGCAAATGTGATTTGTAGAGCAGCTGAAATGAGGCAGAGGATTTCGTTGAATTATTGCTTTTGCTGCCATTGCCGCTGCCATCTATAGATGTTATGCATGAGCTGCTGCCTGGCATTGTTGTTGGGGCTGGCGGCGCTTTTGTTATTGTTGTACAACGGACGTTTGTTGCGGATGCAATTAAAGTGATCGATGGGGGAGCTGTTGTCGCGGCAGATACCGTGTGGAGTGGCAATTGTGGGCCTGACGTCTGTGTTATTGGCATCACTTGTTCCATGAGATATTGGTCAATTTCCTTTGGGTCAATATCGCTGTTGCTCATTGAATTTGGCGCCATGTAGCTATGTGCCGTTGCGAATTTTCCCATTGCATATGGTAGGGGTGTTTTGTTGCCGCTGCTGCTGCTGTTATTGTTGATCGCAGCAGATGCCGATGTCGCCGCGCAGGATTCCAGATAATTTAGCACTCCAATGGAATGTGGCGAGTTGCAATCATCAGTGCTGTTGGAGCCACAATTGTAGCCGAGATATTGGCCTGCTAAATAAGTGCCAAAGCTATCGCTCTCAGTGGCATCTACACCATAAACGCGCCCGGGATGCATAGAACTAGCAGCCGCGCTTTGATAGTGTGGCGAAGCCAACTCATTGGCAGCCAGAATTTCGCTGGCGGAACGCGGGAAATCCAAAAGGCCTGCACTGTATGAGCTCTCATCCAAAGTATGTATTCGCGCGCCCCATCCACTAGCACACCATAACTGGCAGCCAAATCGGCACGCCCCGCAACTGACTCACTCGAGGGTTGCAAAAGTTTCTGAGACTGTGTTTGCCCGTGTGTAGGAGTACGTTTGCCGCTCAGATTGGCGCTCAATAAACTGCTACTGCTTAGTGTGTAAGGTGTGGCAGGCGGTGTGAGAGGTTGTCCGTCAGCCGAGGTGCTTGCACCGGTCGACTGTAGCGAGCTGGCCGTTGAGCAGGGTGAATCCATTGGACGCGCGTAATCATAACGTTGCTGCTGTGCTAGTTGTTGCTGCCCAAAATCAAGTCCCGCCAACTCAGTCATCAGGCCACCATTGGCAGCGTTGTGCAAGGAAGCAGCGCATGCGTTATTCAATGAGTTGATAAATGCTTCGCTATTCAGCATGTCGGCAGCACACGTGATTTCACTGATATTACTGTGAAAATTTGGGTCAGTGTTATAGGCACCCAATTCTTCGATTCTGCTGATATTTCCCTGTTGTGACGTTTGCTTTGTGATACGTCCATTAAGGCGGCTTGTGGTTGTGGTGCCACTACTGCCCATTGCTTTCCGACCACCCGTTCCACTGGAACTCTTGGGCAGAAATGTGCCTGAAGCACAGTCTGCTGTCAATTGTAGCGGTGCTGTTGCTGCGTCCGTCAGTTTGCCGGGCGTAAGTGTGGTTGTCACAGCATTAAGCGCATCATCGCACTGTACGCCGCTGGCTGTGAGAGTGCGCGCTTTTTTGCGCCGTGGCTGATATTTGTAGTCCGGATGTTCCTGCTTGTGTGTGAGTCGCAACTTTTCGGCAAATTCCATAAAAGGTTTTTTGTCAGATTCCTTCAAATTTCTGTTTGCAAAAAAAAGAAAGATAAGACGAAAAAAAGAATTAAAACTGTTTTGGTCTACCAAATGGGATATACATATGTGCATATGTAGGTGTAGTACATAGGTATCTAGATATATTTATGTACATATTTAGTGTATAACAAATTTTCAAAACATTAATTGAATTGCGTTTTCATTGTTTTATCTACACCTTTTCCAACAGTATTTCAGGAAAACACAAATGTATTTCGGAAAAGGCAAAATGAATTTCAGAAAAACACAAATGTATTTCAGAAAAGCTCTAATGTATTTCAGAAAAGCACAAATGTATTTCAGAAAAAGCCAAATGAAATTCAGAAATACAAAATTGTATTTCAGTAAAGCTCAAATGATTTTCAGAAAAACAAAAATTTATTTCAGAAAAGGGCAAAAGTATTTCTGAAAAACACGAATGAGTTTTAGAAAAGCAAAACTGTATTCTAAAAATACTTTTCTGAAATTCATTCGAGCTTTCCTGAAATACATTTGTCCTTTCCTGAAATACATTTGAAGTTTTCTGAAACACATTTGAGTTTTTCTGAAATTAATTTGACCTTTTCTGAAATACACTTGGTTTTTTCTGAAATCAATCACAAAAATGTTTGCTCAGCCGAAGACGAAATCCGGTGTGTGGTCCCTATTTTGGAAATCGTACAGTCAATTTTTCCCATATTTTGTTTTATTTAAATTTTATTAATTTTTAATAAAAATATGGTTAAATCCATAAAACCCAACGTTTATATTTTTGAATCAATTAAAAAAACGTCAAATTTACATAAAAATTTCACAGCTTTTATTCAGAATTCTAAGAACTTGTTTGCAGTGTAGCCCATTCAATTTTAGTATAATAAAGTAGAAGTTTAAAGTTGCTAAAAAATACCGTTAATTTTTGGCAGTTTGTCTTTGTTGGCGGTGTTGCGCATTTTCTTCCATATAACGCATGAACAGAATCTACATATTTGTATATGGAAGAAAATGCGCAGCATCTCGACAAAAAAAAATCCAAAATTTCCGCCCACTTGTGATAAAATGCTGAACGTCTCTGCTTTCTCTGCTCTGTGTCAGGGCTGTCAAGTTTACGTGTTCTTCTCACAGCATCTTCACATGCATATTGCGTGCTCTTCCTTTAAAATGTTGTTTACTCTGATAATGCTGCCATATAAAAGGTGAAATTTTCTTGACAAAATAAAACGCCATAAGTACCCGCAGTACCAATCTCTCACAGAGAGTCCCGTTGAAAATTTTGAAAATCAATAATCGGCAATAACCACGCCTACTTCCGGTATTTCTACCAAACTCAGTACAGTTATTGCTATTGGAGTAATAAAGCGATATATAAATAGTATTTAAATCAGATGTCATATAACTGTAAATTTTTTAAATACGCAAATTACAATAACGAATGGCGCAAATTTACTCTAAGTTAACACTTAAAAGAATCTCTTAAAATGAACGTAAAACAATCGACTGCAAAATATTACAAGTCAACGCAAATTTTTAGCAGCTGAGCTCTTGAAGCACTTAAAACGTGTATTTTATTATGATGAAATGTCGCGGTCTATGAAACTACATACCCAAAACTTTCAAAAACAAACTCAGATTAAATAGTTTGAAATTTTTTTGATTTCTATAAAATTTTTTTATAAAGTCTCAAACTTCGTTTATTTGGTTTTGGTTATGGCAGGTATAGTAAATTTTTATAATAAACTAAAAACAAAAACGCTAATCCAATACTATTTGCACAATAACCTGAACATCATCCCACTGTGCTAAATTTAAGCAAATAAGAGATATAACAATAGAAAAATAATAGGCTTATTCACACCGCTATGGTAAACCATGAACGTCTTCTTTGGCTTATTTGTATTTGTTTCGAATACCCCTAATGAAATAGCAATGCACGACAACTCTCACACACACACTTGTTACACTGGGGAGAGAATTCCAGTCATGAGAACTTATGAAAATTCTTTGATGAGAGTGAGTCCTCATTCTCGTTGCTATTTTGGCGGTGAGGACGAGAGTGAATGCCAATTCTCACAAGAATTATTCTCATCGTTTACGAGAATCTTAAGGCGGAATTACTATATCTGAATGAAGGAGAAAGCGCTACACTACGCAAGGTAATTGACTAGCTAAGTCCTTCGGTATGGAAATATCAATAATGAGAACCAAAGCAGTCTTTCACCCTGGTAGGAACGAAGTAAGAATTTTTACATGACTCCTTACTGTCCGCTGCAGTGTAATGAACCACTTTTCAAATCTAGTAGCAGACTGTGTCACGCGGAACCGAAAACGGTAGAGCGCAATGTTACTTTATGATATATGTATACGTGGACCAAAGAAGGCCTGAAAATAATTACAGGTCAAAATCGAATCTGTTCTTATCTTATAACGGCATTAACTGAGTTACATATCGTTACCTTAATATAGGAACCCTAATTCATTTTCTTTTTACATCCAGCACTGCACAAAAGTCTACTGATTACTCTCTGTAAGCCTATAGGATTTTAAAAATAACTTCCACAGCATAAAACTAGTTAAATTCTGCAATAAAAGCAGCCTTTAAAAGTAATCCTTAGCAAA